AACCAAAAACCACCGCAAACTAAAAAATGTGTAAATGATGGTACCCTTGCAAAATCAATTTTTAGAAAGCTTCGTCACCATAGGTTGCACAAGGATGTTGAGGCGGCGCTCGTGTCGCACATGTCGGGGGATAATTGCATTAATTAATTAATGAGACGCCAAGGTGCATGTTCTAGGAGTTCCAGGATCTGTCAATGGACCGATGGGTTTCCAATCGTTATCGACGTCGCTAGGGCGGCAAGTTTGTTGCCTCGCGAGAAGACAACATCGTCGCACTCAAAGTAAACCCACGCCTGGGTTTACTCCTCGTAACAGTATAGTTACCAAACTCAAACTCCTGTATCGCGGTTTATAGCCGGGGACCGGTTCGCATAGGCTCGAGCAAGTTCGGCTGATAAAGTTATCAGGATCCGGGCATCTCGCGAACACACCCGGACCCTGGTTTCCAGCTCTCTTCGAGGTCCACTTTTCCTACGTCTACCACGAAGAGCAGGTGGTTAGGAAAAAATTTGCCCTTCCGGTGGGCACGGTTAAGAGTGCTTCCCCTCTCATTTGCGCCCCTTACTCCTGCAGTTGCTGAGTTAGATTCCATCTCAGATGAGTATCAGCTAAGAGCCGCAGGAAGATACGGATCTCCTCAAATAGTCGCCAGGGTAAGAAGTGCCTTCTCTCCCTCTGAAAATACAAGACCTTAACACTTTACCGACCGGAAGCCTATTAATCGGTTTTGCGATACTCGTGATCGCCATTTACTTCCAAATTCGCCGGTCGGTAAAGTGTTAATACCCAACCGAACAATGCACTCGGAGAGTAAACCAACAGTTGGGATAAATAACAAGAGGATGAACAAGACACAGTACCTCCGTGCGCCGTTAGTCATGCTGATGTGTACCATGAGGTATGCCGACGAAGAGGCTGCTCGTTGCCATTTTGCTGGGCCCCAAGAAGACGTGATTGAACGGCAAACGCAAATAGAGCAAAATACCTGCGAAGTCAAAAGAAGATGTTTAAGGGGACGTAAAAGTGCCATGCTAGGTATCAATCGTTCGTGAAACTTATCTTCGAGCTGAGTACCGAATCGTTTCAAACTTCACAACATGAACGTAGAGGTTGTAAGGAAGGTTCTGATACCCATGAAATTTCATTAAAAAAAAAAAAAAAACATTGTTTCTACACATTTTGATAAATTGTATATAAATTGACATTTTGTGAACGTCAGAACCTTTATTAGGGCCTCCATATTCACGTGGTAAAATGTAAAACGATTCGGTATCCCCGGTTCACGAACAAGTATCTCGAACAATTGACTCCGCAGATGCGGGGAATTCTGCCTTTCGCGTCACCTTAATGCGCCAGTTTTAGCGATATCAAGGTGCGATAAGTCAGAGATTTGGCTTCGCGCCCGCCTTTCCGTGACCGCGACAAATCGCGTTAGTGCCGGGATTGCCGATGGCTAATCACGGACACCGTGTCGAGGTCGAGGGCACTGCCGTGGACAGGAACCTCCCCAGGACTCGGCAGGACGATTAACGATCCGCCTTCGACGGCGTACCTCGCAGCTGGTTCCGTTTGCGCCAACTTCGGCGCTCCAACTTCCGCCCCGTTCTGTGTGACTTTCGACGAGTGACGGTCGCCGCGAGTACACGCGTTCAATCTACAGAAGTTGCAAGTGTACACCCTGGGCCCGACCATGGAAGGAGAGGTCGGCGAATTATTATTTAACGCGGTCTGAAAGCATTGTTCCCGAGCGCAGAGTCCGCCGCGGCACACGTAGGCAAATTTCGCCTCGCGATATGAATTATCGTGGAGCCGGCTACGAGGAAAAGAAACCCGATCTCGGATCGATAAGGTATCAACAAGTTGCGACGTCGAGACGGAGCCGTTGCGTGCATTCCGCTTGGAGATGTGTCGCCGCAAGCCGTGCGGGGAAATTCGGTCGCGTCGAGGCGAATCTACCGCACGGTACGACCGCTTTTGCAATCATCCCTTAATTAAGGGACTAACCGGAATGTACGCGCGCGGTAGCCGAGCTTCCTCGTTTTCCCGGGCAACTTGCTCGACTTAAGCGAGGTGAATCGCTTACTTAACCCTGGCCGACTACCGCTGGCCTGTGCGGATATTTCACGACGTTAAACATTGATAGCGGCGACAACGCTCCCATTACCACCGCGGACGAAGAAATATAATTCCCTGAAGGTGGGGTAGCCCTTTGCCGAGGAGCTCGACGGGTTATTTACACACTAAATCCTGGATTTTAATTAATTATAGATAAGAAATTTCACACTAATCACGGTTTGTGCAATTAGCCCTTGGTGAGCACCTCTCTGGCGAGAGGAATATATCCCCGAAATTTCACATTTCTAGGCTTTTAACGGTTTGGTCTTATCCGTTCACCGTAAATTAGGATTTTCGAGATGCCGAGGCATTCGAGAGGCAGCCTTGAACATTTTCGGGCCTGCCCTTACTTGGAACCCGAACCCTTGCTCGAAGGACCGCTCGGGACTTATCCCGCTATTCTTCTCGCAGGTAAGACCAGGTAAGGGCAGGTAACATTAAGCGAGTCTCCGAAGGCCTGGCGACGCCGCCTTCCCGAGAGGAACGATCCTCCGTGGCCGACCCGGCGATTTCACTCCCGGTAGAAGGCGACTCAATTTTCCGCAAAAACTTCCTCGGCCCTCGTTCGCGCGGAGTCAACGTAGACGGTAATAAATCTTAATAAAAGTCGCAAAGTCCAGCGCCCAGAGCGATGAAATACGCTCCTTACGAAACCGACTTTTTACTTTCCCGGTACCCTCCTGACGGCGCTCTTAAAAAGTCCCAAGGGCTAGTTAAACCAGAAATCGTGAGGTACCATTTCAGGAGTACAAAGTGCAAGAACCCAGGCTCGTCAAAATCGATGGATACACCGAGAATAAGTAAGGTTAACCTTTACCACGAGCCGTGAAACAAGTGCCAGTCCCTAAAGGTACACGATGCGCAACTACAGGAATGAAAACCTAACAAACTCTAACATTACAAATGGTAGTCATTCCCTGTTCCTCGTATCTATCGTAGTATCCCATAATATACATCCTTAGAAGCCGGCACCTAATTTCCGTCTCATATATCATAACGTTCAACGCTACTTTTCCTCGCATCGAGTGATACATGTCGACAGTATTTCCTAACGAAGGGCACCTCCGAACTAGTTACTCCTAGATCAAAGCGGTAGATTAAAACGCAGATTACGGCAGGTCGACTGCCGAGTTCCGCAGGGTCTTAAAATTATTATTCCTCGACGATTGCGCCCGCCCTGGGCTACTCGGCTCTGGCATACCCTGTGCAAATACATCCCCGAGCGCGGCCCCGCTCCAAGATTCGTTTTCGCATCGGCCTGGCACCGGTAGAGAACTAACGATCACGCCACCGGCGAGCGTTTTACCGGTGGGCCACTCCGCCTCGACGAGGCGGCCCTACATTTTTCAGAGGCAGAAAGTCCCCTCGACTTTGCCGGGGCGAGGGGAGGTTAAGGGGAAGACGAGGGAGCCGTTTCGTGCCTGCTTTGTGCGGCCGGTCGCGAATCGGCCCGGCTCCTTCAGCCTCGCTCTCTCCTCTTCCCACTCGGCGCCCCGATGCCGCCCCTCGTCCCCTCTCTTTCTACCCTACGGGCGGCCCTATGCTTCCGTCGCGCTCTCGCCGATGCGTGACGCCGACTCCTCTTCCGTCTCCTTCGCGACTCCTCTCCCTTCTCGCTTCACAGGTGTGTGTGCGTCCTTGTTGCGCACTCCAGCCGCTGCACACGAAGCACTCTCCGTCCCTCTCCCTCGGCGTGGCTCTCTCACACGTGCAGACTCTCCTTGTCGCTCTCGCGGACGACTCGGCTCTTTCCTGCATAGAAGCTATAGTACGTGTCTCATGTGCCGATACATGTCGGTGCGTCGCCTCTTTCTCGCTTCTTCGTGCTGAATGTGTCGCCTCTTCGTCTTTCTCCACCGACCGGCGGACACGCTTGATAGACCTATCCGGTGTGACTCCGGGCGTTATATAGAAAGTAGGAGTAAGTTTAACCGACAGGTGTCGAATGAAAATTGCGATTCGACTCGAATTAAGATTTTTCCAAAGTTACCGGAAACGTCTCGATCTTTCCGAGGAGCTTTTGTTTGTTCCCTCGGACCTGAATTCTCCCCCCGTCTCGCTCCCTCGCTTTGTTCCCGGCATCGGTCCACCTTCGTCGTCTCGCATTTTCACCTTGAAATTCTTCTTTTCATCTTTTTTTCCCAGCAATCTACAAGTGCAAATGACAGACCCGACCGATTTCGTTAATATATAAAACGGGAGTAATTTCGATTAAACGTGAAACCTCGAATGAAAAATCGCGGCACGACTGGAGTTAATATTTTTGAAAAGTTACCGTGGAACTTGATCATCCCGTCGAGCTTTTACCATCTCTCTTTCCTGGATTCCCGGTCCTTCTCGCTCGCTTTGTCCACGGCATCGGTCGACCTTCGTCGGTGCGCGTCGCCGTCGGTACCTAAAAGCGCACGGGCCTGTACACCGCTCTTCTCCTTTCTTCCAATACCTCCTCGAGTGTTTCTCTCTCCCGCGCCAACGGTCGCCGCTAGCGGCATCTCTCTCGCACCCGCATCCGAGCGCTCCGCCGGCACAATCTCCTCTCCCTCGCCGGCAGATTTTTTCCCTCCGATGCCCGCCCGCATACATCGGGCCTCTCTCTCCCTCCCGCGGGCCGGCGGCTCGGGCCTCTCTCTCTCGCGCGCGCTTCTTTCTCCGGCTGGCCGCGTGTAGGTTAGGTGTCGCGTCGGAAGACGGTTCGCCGCCGTGCCGGCCGGCGTGCGGCGCCCCTCCTCGCGGCGTCCGCGTGGTGCCCCTTCCCCCTCCCTCCCCGCCCCGCCGGCCGTCACGGTGGCCCCCCCACTCTCAACCGCCGACCCTCTCCTCCGGCGCTCCTCCCGTCGCCGTGCCGACTCCCCTCCAGGTCTCCGGCTGCGACTCGTGGCGAAGTTTGAGCGTCGCTACTCGTGGCGTGCCTACAACTTAGCCGGATCTATTACGCGTCCGCGCTCTTTTTGCCCTCGCTACCCGCCGTTTTTCCCTCGACCTCGTCCGCTCGGCCCGGCGCTCTCGACGACCTCGACGCCCTCAGGATCCGCGATCTTTCCGAGAGGAGACCCGAGACGCGCAGAGCCAGCAGCGCCGCCAGGACACGCAGAGGAAGGTCCCGAGCGCGAGTCGAGCTCGAGGCCTCCGGCGGACGTGGCGCGACCTAACCTCGAAAATCCGCGCGCGCGCGCCCGCGTCGATCCTGCGGCGTCCTAACCTCGATCCGCACCGGGGACGCACCGCAGCCCGCGCGACCTTCCTGCGCGAGTGTCCCGTGGGTAAATATTCAGTTCAGTGACAGCTGCCAGTGCGTCCAGTGACGATCCAGCGCCGACGCCGACGCCTTTGTTTGGATACCAGAGCCACCGCCGGCGCGCCGTGGAGCCTGCTTGCCGACCTTCGGTTAGTGGCTGGTTCTTGTCTTATTGTCCAGGTTTTTCGGCCAGTCGTTTTATTTCGTCGTCGATGCCTCGCCACCGCTGCCAGGGATCGATAGAGAGGTTATGGTGGCACGCGTGAAGCACGCGTGGGTGCGGGTTTGCCGGTCGCGCGAGGGCGCATGCCTGGCGAGCGGCCGACGCGGCGCGCGACAATGCGCGAGCCTCTCGCTCCGTCTCCCTCGCGCCTGCGCCGAACCGCCGAGTGACCTCTCTCTCGCTCTCACGGAGGACGCGCCGCCCGAGCCTAGTGAGACGCGACGAGTCGAGTGCTTCGTCAACTTGAGTTACTCGAATTCGAAGGCGTTGCCAACTCGAGCCTGGACTCGAGTCGGCGGCTCGCGAGTCTGGGACTCGGTTCTCGAGTTCATCCGGATCTTTTTTCGCATACGAATAGATTAGCGCGAAAAATGTAGCACTCTTGCAAAAGTCGCTTTGCCTATCAACGTTTTAAAGTCGTCTACAGAATTGTCAATTTCACCCGCGAAAGTTAATTGCACTCGAGAATAGAGTCCCTGGCGAGGAGAATAACTCGACTGCAGCTCCGAATAGACAAATAATGTGAGGTTATGTCCCGAGGACCTTTGTCTCGCGCTTACGCAATCGCTATCGCTCTTAGTTTCGCTAATGGGGCCAAAGCGATATTTTGTCGTCAATTCAAGGAATAATAATTTGCCCGAAATAAGGTCGAATAAATAGGATGCAACGTTTCTTCCAGATTTTGACGATTTATTTGAGTTAACTGCAGTCAAATAATTCTTATTCGAGTCAACGAGATATTTCGTTGTCACCGTTCAAAGGGATACCTCTTCGGTTAGATGAAGATCTTTTTCCTACGTCTACCGACAACTCGAGTTAGGGTATGGAAGAGTGACTCGAGTTTAACGAGTCGGACACTCGAGTCGCTAAAATATTCGTCTGGTCACGTCGAGGCTCCACTCGGACTCGAAGTTCCCTTTTCTCGTATAGACGTGTTAATTGGGTTCGCGATTTAAACGATGCCTCGTGAATTCAGGAGGGCTAAATGGGAAATTCAAGCATCGCCTTTCAAAGACCGTGCTCCCGCAATAGCGAAACGCTCTTCCCTGTGACGTCACCGTCGAGAGAATATTCGCGGAGCGATCGGAAGGATTTCTTTTAGGTCCCCGGTGACGAATTAGCCGCAGCCCGACCGTAAGAGAGGCGGCGATAATTTCCTGCGAATTTGGGATACCCGACCGCTGCCAAGTCGTCACTTGGGAGTTAATGGGAAGGGGTCTGCAATTATGTTGCGGAGCCCTCGGCGACTCCGCCGTGGCGCGCTGCCAGAGTCGCAGTTTTTACCGTTGGGGCGCTCGAACGCGCGCAATATCGGTTCTGCCCGGAAGGTTAGGTCGAAACCGCGCGTTGCGGCGGCCGCCATCTTGGTGTGCCGTATTTCGTCTTGCGAGGGTTTTCGTGTGCGAGAGCAGAGGCAGGAGCGAGGCTTCATTGAGCGATTTTCGAGCGACGCCTGTGCTAGCCTTGTGAGCGTCCCACAGAGCGCGGCGCGTCAAGGATGGGATATCTATCGGAACTGCGACGCGATGACGCATGGGGTTAAGGGGACGGTGAAAGGCGTCGGGGAATTCAATCGACCCCGGTAAAAGATTCCTCTAACTTCGGACGACGTGTCGTACGAAACGATCTTTGGTCTCCAACTTTTTTTCGGCGGTGACGCCACTTCGGAAGTTTCGGGGCCTACCAGCGGAGAAGCACTTGCAAACGGGACAGCCAAGAACTATTAGAATTTATCGCATTAATGATGCATTTCTCGATATTTCCAATGTGAATACGCGAGGGTGGGTTTTTATGCGGGGGAATGCAGGGCGACGACGGCGCGTTCCGTGGGACACCGGTTCCGGGCACGTCGCAAACGCGCGCGGCCGGACTCGGCTCGCTCCGTCTCCCTCGCTCCCGCGCGCGCCGCGCGCTCGCCCTCTCCCTCGCACTCACGGGCCGAGCGTCCACGACGTCACCCCGCGGGAATTCGAGACGCGGGATGCACGCGAAGTTTTCTCTCCCCTCCCGGATTATTTTGCGTGCCGATCGCGTCGTCGGCTCCCCGCTAATCCCGCCTCTTGCGTAACCCTCGTCCGCCCGTGGCCGGAAGAAAGTTGATTAAAGTGAATTTAATCACTTATCCGCCGATGGACGGCGGAAAATATCGACCGGTCGATCCGGCTCGATCGCGCTCTCCATCTCACTCTTTCTCTCTCTTCCCCCGTAATTACTCCTTCTTTTCCATTAACCCGTGTTTTTATTTATTTAATAAGGTTCTCTTTCCGTTTTACTTTAATGAGATCCCCTGTTTGCTATTTAATAAACGAGAACCCGCGACTTTGCGCCGGGAGCGTACACGGTCGACCTTGAGGAGGTTAATAGCACGCTTGCCGGGCGCGCATGCGCACGCATTTGCGGAGATTCGTGCCGCGAGCGAAATCATGTCTGATCTCGTTTTCTACGGTTCTTATTTTTTTTGTTCTTCCTTTTTCCTTTTTCTCTCTTTTTCCTTTCCCCTAGTCGTTCGCACTTGTAGAGCTGCCGTCAGCCCCCGATAATCCCCTTACACCGCGCATTGCAAAAAGATGTTCCGCCCACCGCAAGAAAAATAAAAAAAGGGCCGCGACAGGTCGGGGTCGCTTATCTAGGAATTATGTAAAGTAAATCGGTTCCGCGAAAGCTCGCGACATATGGTCGAGCAGGGCCCCAAGGTGACTCCCGCTAGGTCATTCCTGCGAGGCAAACGTGTCCGCCAGAAGCAGGAAAATTGTTTTCATCCCCTCCCTTTTTTTTTTACATTCGAAGGTTTTTCCTCCAGAATAAAAATAGCGCCACGCGATCGCGACTTTCGGCCCTCCCTGGGAGTTACGCGGCTGACGAATCGGCCCTCTTCGTCAGGAACGCAGCAGCGCGTCAGGTGGGAAAACGGCGTAAAAATTGTTTTCCGCAATTCTTCATCCTTTTCCTCCCCCCTTCGGGATCGGGCGTCTCGCTCTTGCAGCCCACGCTCGCCGTGTCTCCCTCGCGGCCGCGTCAACGTGCTTCGCTCCCTCCCTCTCTCACCCGCATCGGTGCGCCTAGCCCCTTCTCTTTCTCACCCGCGTCGGTGCGCCTCGCTCTTTCTCTCTCGCACCCGCATAGTCGCGCCTCGCTCCTTCCCTGTCTCGGCCGCATCGTCGCGCCTCGCTCCTTCTCTCTTTCTCCCTCGCGGAGGCGGCACGCCCTTGACTATACGGGCGCTTCGCGGAACGCGAGTCACGTGACGCGCCGACGAATTGGCGAGTCGAGCCGTCCGGCGATAAGGATCGCGGGATAACCTCCGCGGGCCCGATAGGCATCTCGGGGATAACCTCTCAGAGAGCGAGAGAGAGGGTAACCCCGCGCGCTCACTTTTTCTTCCCGGCGGAAGAGGGGGGCGGGAGGAACACCCGAGCCTCCATTGTCGGTTGGAAATAGTTTAGGCGCGCAATCGGAGCGCGCCTTCCTGCTCGTTTTGAAACCGCGCGCTGCTGCACCCCTTGGTGCACTCGCCGATGCAACCCGACTCACCCGAGCGCCGCCGCAATTGCCAGTACCGTTACCCCGCTCGCTTCTTTCGCATGCTCCGCTTCGACCCCGACCGGGGAACTCTCCAGAATTTTCCTATTAGGGACGCGTCGCGACGCTTCCGTAGGCGCCCAGTCGCCGGGACGACGAGGCGTCGAGACGTGCGCCGGTCGTCCACTCGGGGGGGGATCCACTGACCGGAGGAGATCGACCTCGAAATTTCCTCTCTCCATTGTTTTCGACGGTCACGTGGTCGGACGTGGTTCCTCCCCCGAAATGCTAAAGCGCGATGCAACTATATAGGCGCATTAAGGTGATACGAAATGTACCGTCAAAGAGGTTCCCTTCGTGAAACTTCTCCTAACCTGGTGCACCGAATAATTTGAAACTTTAATACGCTGTCCCAGAGGTCTTAACGAAGGTCTCGAAACTCGCGAAATTTCATATTTCGAAACAAAAAAAATTGCTTACTCCGGATAAAAAACGATGAAAAAAAAAATGTATTTTTCACAAATTTCGTGATTTTCAGGACCTTCGTTAGGACCTCTATAATCACGCCTTAGAGTTTCAACTTATTCGGTGCCCGCCCCTTCCACCCACCCCCAGTTTGCAGAAATGTCTTATACATATTTTATCTTTTTGGCGTACATACATATGACGCTTTCATGTCACCTTAAGGGAGTCACGCCATATTGACGAGCTCTACGCGATTCATCAGAGGCGGTCTCAGAGCGTTAGATCTCCCTTGTACCTCGAGAGGTGAACGTTGCGTGCGAGTGAAACGAATACCTGGAACGGAAGTGGGAAGGGGGAGGGGGGGTCGGCGTCGAAGTCGCGCTCGGGGAGCAAAATCTCGGCCAGTCGATATCGACCCAGGAGGCAAGGAGACGTACGCGTCGACCCTCTCGCGTTCTCCTCGGTGAGGATCGGCTCCGGTGGCGCCCTTCCTTGAGGTCGGAGGGCCACGTGGGTGCGCGAGCCTCGGCGAAGGCGGCAGCGACGCCGGCGGAATTGGCCGATGTTTTCCGCACGGAGGGTATGGTCGCGCGGCGTCACGGGCGCCGGCAACGTCGCGCGACGTTGCCGCGCGGCCGCCGGCCGCGGCAGCACTCGAGGGAACCGGTCGCGCGGAGGGAGGGGGACGACTGGAGAGGGGGGCGGTGGCGGGGCGGACGACCGCACGGTCGCGCGACCGCCACGGATTCCTCGACGAGATGGATCAGGTTCCCCCTGATTGGCCCTTCGGGCGCCCCCTCTGCCCCCCACCCCTTCCTCCCATCCTTCGACCGATCTGCCCGCATGCCGCGGCCTCGAGATTCGGACGGTTGGATGGGGAGGGGGTGGAGGAAGGGTAGGCGGAGGGGACCACCACGTGCGGGAGAGGCACTAGTTGCGCGC